CCTTTACTAAACCTAAGCTACGCAAAAAAGATTAATTATCGAATTAACTATTATCAAGTGATATTAGCATATTTCTCATTTAATAATCGTACAATATTTATTCACTCACTGTTTACTATAGCCAGAACGCTGTACGTGTCTTCATTTTCAGGTTAGTTCTTCTGCTGATTTCTTGCAACCAACAACGTGATTTTTTATTTGGCATTTCAAGAAACTTAACATGAATCGTTATGGCATTCATAACACAACACCTCGCCATGTTTCAACTTTTAAGTAGTCAGTTAACAAGGTCTTTCATAGTAGCATTTCTATGGGATTAACGTACTAGCATGAACGGGTTCAATTATCAGTGTTCACTGATGACATCATTTGACTGGCCCTCTAGAGGCCAAATGACACCAGGAAAAGCGGACGTTTGTCGTCTGCTTCACAGCCTGTTTTATACCCAATATTTAGGGCATTTCGCAGCACATACAAGTTGTTTTTATCGACAGAATTCATTCATAGATCTCAGATTTCATGTACTGAGTGTCAAAAGCCACACCTCTGCTCCCCTTTAAGTAAACATAGATATTTAGGGTTAGTCTAGAGAGTTGATCTCGACTCCCAGCTGCTCCACGATGGTGATTTTTGGCATAGGTATTCTCTGATAGCTGCTAATGAAAGATTGTTTGTCTATGAACAATCTATGATTATTTGGACTATGAAAAAGGTACTCAGAAGGTGTGTATGTCCTCGGAAGTATACATGTATATCTGTATTTTTTTCCTCGAAACATTAGTAATGCAAGTACACCAACATGTCAAACATTCAAATTCCTAGAGATGTTACATAAAATTATTGTTTGTATGTATTTACCTTTTAATAATCTTCCTCCTCTGTATGCATGTACTGCTAAGACTGCTGTGATGTCATTCTGTGTCACATATCTATTGAACACAATACTGCTATCAAACTCATTGCAATCCTTAAGCCAACATTTTATGTTCACTTCTTCAAAGTATTTTCTGTCAATTTAAAAAAACACTGGAAATTTAAAGACTAGTACGATCATTTGAAATTTTGCACTCTATAATAACAATAAGTTTACATGTATAGTTGTCACCACATGTATAGTTGATTTGTGTAAACAATGCATGGGACCCATATCAACTATGACACAGATTAACAACTGGGATGATTTAATAAATAAGTCACCTGTTGTGTTCAAGGGATTTGATAAATGACTGAAATAAAATTGGATCAATAATTTCCATGGAAATTGTATTATTATATAATTGCCATATGAACATTAAAGCCAATAATGGTGAACATATTAAATAGCTAGTTCTTGTCAAAAGTGTCAAAGTCCAAGATTTTTTTAAAGATTTATATTTACATACTGACCCAATTTATTAGTGAACTGTTAAACAGGATATTCTAACAATCTTTATAGATTAAGCACACAATATTTGCAATACCAGTATACCATATGTTTTTTTTTAGAACATTAGAAAAATTAAAACATATGGTAAAATTATAGCTGTCCAACTGGGAATATTTCTATGGATGAAAAAGCCAGATTTAATAATCTAATTTAAAAATTTGATTTGTGTCCATACACGTGTGAAAAATTAAAACAGTGGAGACATTTAAATTTATAAAGTAATTTATAATAACAGATTGTAGCATGAAAGGATAAAACTATAAAACAAAAGAAAAACTTTCAAAATTTTGAGAGCAATTGTGTATAATATTTCATTGCGTTGGCCTTGCATGCGTATCCATTAAGCTATATATAGGAACACATATGCAAAATTCATATAAATTATCTAAAATATGCATCTTAATTATTCTCTGACTTTTATTTATCCTGCTTACATGGCAACAGTATAAATACCTCTCCTTAAATTTAATCATTTGGGTCATGTCTCGAAAAAAGAAAGTACTCCTGTGTGCAAATTAGGTATTTAGTATGCACTGATCCCAATGTAAAACTAATACTGTAAAATACAATATTTTCGCTTCAAATTAATTTTCGCTATTTTTAGCTGAAAGAATGATTCAGTGAAGATATAATCCAGCAAATATATCCTTTTTCGCATATTTTACATTCAACTTTTCAAAATCAGTGAAAATAAATTCCATACAAAACACCTAAAAGGCCTTTTCAGCGAAAATTAATTCCAGCGAAAATTATTAAGTATTCTACAGTAATAGAATTTACCCATCTGTAAATTGCTGTACATTAGTGCCAAATAGTGTACAGATGAAATTGTGCGTTGTAATCAAACACAATTACTGTAGAATACTTTATTTTCGCTTGGAATTTATTTTTGCTATTTTTTCTGAAGGGATGATTCCGTGAAAATAAAATCCAGTGAATATACTTTTTTTTCTATATTTCACATTAAACTCATTAAAAATCAGTGAAAATAAATTCCAAGCAAAACGCCCAAAAAGCTATTTCAGCGAAAATTAATTCCAGCAAAAATAAAGTATTCCACAGTACTTCAGACACAGTAGTGTCAGTGTGTGAGGGAAATTGAATTCTGTTACTGAATGCAAACTTTCGTACAGCGTGAAATGCTCTTCTTTGCCATTTCGTTCTGGTACATGTATCTCTCATTAAATTATTACTACAAGCAGGGAAAAGATAATAATCAAGTTATCACGAGGATACCGCAAACTATGCACTCAGGCAGTATGGTAACACACACCAACCTTCGCTACATGTTGGTCAATATGATCCATGCATTCAAGCATACTTTGCAGTATTATTGTAACAACCCCATACTATTTTACATGCACAAAAATACTTGGCCCTTTATTCATATTGCTTTATCCACTAAATATACATGTACCACATATATTGAATTTTATGTAAACAATGTATTTTACATGCCATCACTGTGCTGACAGGTGTAGCATTTTAGGTTTTGTAATACCCGGTAGTACAAGTGAACCTGTACGAATATTTATATTGTTTTTATAAACAATTAAGTCATATATATTATATTACGAGTCAGGTTGTTTTACTGTAGAATACTTTATTTTCGCTATGAATTAATTTTCGCTATTTTCGCTGAGGGAATGGTTCAGTCAAAATGAAATCGAGCAAATATACCTTTTTTTCTTATATTTTAAATTCAACTCGTCAAAAATCAGTGAAA